ACCTACTTGGATTGGTGGTGTTGCTTTGGAACTTATCGGACAGGTACTTCCGTGGTTTGGATGCCCCAAGCCTTTTGATGTCCACCGTCATTCCGTGGGTGGTATTGTCAAGCGGGCATTCGGTCAGAACACACGTCGATTCATCGCACACTCTTGCTCGTGTATCAGCATCTGTGATGCAGTACGCTAACACACAAAGTCGTGAGAAAGGTATCTCCTCTGGGAGCGGTCAGTAAGCCAGGCCGGGTTTTTGCATGCAGCTGGAGCTAACGATTGAAATCGCACTCTGATACACACACATTGAAGTCACTCAGGCTCTTCGCTACGTTTCCTGGTGATGCAAAGAAAAAAAGGTCAACCCAGAAGCTTGCCAATGGACATCTCTTCGTTCGTGTGGAAGAAGAATCTCCCGATGCCACCGAACCCAGCATATGGTATACGCCCGTCAAGCATAGCTTGTGCTGATTTCTCCCAAGCGTGTGAATGTCCAAAAGCAGGTGTACAAGTAGTCTTGGAGGTAAAAGAGCACGCAGAACACGGACGTCGGGCGAACAAATCCCCGCCCGAGCAGAGGTGTTTTGTTCTGTTTGAATGCTCGGGACAGATTCAAGAGATCCCACTACTACCGGAGGTTGCGCCTCGGTGAACCAGGTGCTGGAGGTGTCTTGACTCATGTATGTCGCCGACAATGCGTGACTTATCAACCACGAACTTATCAGATATAAAAGTGGCGTCAGCACAGTTTAACCTTCTGCTCTGCCGTGACATCTGTTCCATGGGTGGTTGTTTTGTTTGTTCGCAGCTGTAGGGCCTGTTCGCTGAGAAACGAACACCAGAGCAAGAACACCCGGGGCTAACTCAAAGGTAGCGAGGCGAAAACAAAAAGAAACTCCAGTAACCACGGGGCTAATTCAAACGTTGTTGTGCTACCGTGGCTGTATTTGAGAGGGTCGGGCTAACTCATGGTGGGGGGCTAGTTCAAAGGATATTGCGGTATGCACTCGGCGCTAGAGCCTCGAGCAACAACAAACGTGGGATAAAGTGCTTTCGTTACTTGTTAGATTGCTTCAATGAACCATAATACGTTGGGTGTGTCTTGTTTGGGGTGTTTTCATTTTTTTCAGTTTTGAGGACGCAATATTACGACATGTTTGTTTCTCTTCTTCCATCCCCTTCCGATTCCGGACACATACAAAGATTCCACATTCCGTAGACGGTTCTCTGAAAGTATATAGTTGCAAGTATCTTCGGCACCTCGCGTTGATATTGTCATAGACACACTGCGAACCATGCTTGCTTTGAGTCGTGCAAGGAGGTGCTTTCCGGCTTGCTGATGATGCGAACGGAACACGTACACCAACAGATTTCGTTCTTCGCGACTTCATGTCGCAAGAACCACCATAACGCAAGAGGTTGATTTCGCCCCCCCACGATCATTTGGCCGGCGGGAAGTCTTTTAAAATCACGTTTGGTCTACGAGGCGAGCCTCATGGTTCATCGTATGTTGCACGCGACCATACTGGTGAAACTGGGGCATTTCCGACATGTCTGTCTTTGGCTAGAGGGAGGAATAGATCGGCAGCTATAGCATCCACCGTGGGTGTCCCTTCTATGTATCGCCTTGTTTAAGGGCACCCTAGGCACGTCGAACGTTGTTTTCCAGAGTTGCCACGCAGGTTACCAAAGCAAGCTAGCCCCGGGATAATCCTGTTCGGTGTTGGATACGTGCCGCAAGCAGAGGTCAGAAGGCGCCTGCACTAATGTTGGTGCAAGGGCGATCTTTAGAAACAGGACCTCCTGATGAGTGGACCGGGATGATACATTGGTCATATTTTCTGCGTTGTGTCGTCTGTGTGCCAAGAAGGAAGAGGTTTGCCTCTCAGATGCGATCCAAATCCGTTCACGAGTTGACCGTTCGCTTTAGAGATGCATTCGTGCTCCCTGTAGGAGGCCGTTACGCAGAGAACAGAGAGTCGTCCGTGTGGGATTTGTCAAGTTTTCCACGTGCTAATGTTGCCATAGGTCGATGAAAGAGTCAAGGCGGGTATGGATCAGTTTTGGTCCTTCTCCAAGGAACCTGGGGAGTTTTCAGTTTTTCCAGTACACGTCGTGTTTTTCACATCCCCAGGCTGCATCAGAAGTACGAAACATCCTGAATGTTCAGAAGCCCGTGAATGGTTTCTAGCAGATAGATGTCGAACTCTTCACTGAGACTACTACCTGTGATAGCTTGTGTACAATACCAACGAACCTAGACTTTGTTGCAGTGGTCTTCCATCACCTCCCCGAGTTCTTCCCCAAGCAACCGCACTCTATAGGAGTTTCTCGGAAGCCAGCAATTGGCAGGTACTTGCGTCACTTTGTTACTTCTGGTCATCGAGAACCCGCCAACCTACTCTTTGTGATTCATCCAAGAAGGTGTATTTTGGCTCACAGGTGTTACGAGCTAACTCGGGACATGGACAGAAGCATTGTCCGTTTGTAACCATGACGAGAAGGCGCGAGGTTGAGTTTGCCCCACCGACTTGTTGGCCGTCGGAGTTAGGTGTTCCCTGTTATGTGGTATGGCTCCAATGTGAGTCTCACGACTCATCGGAAACGTCAGCCCCCACCTTTCCCCGCTACCCGACGATTGTTGAACATCGATCAGACGTGTAACGATGACCTATTGCCCTCTCGGCGGAGGAGTCGGGGGAAACATGAAATTCGTCAAGATTGCCCTTCTCTCTTAAGGTCCTTCACCCGGGCGGGGTTGGTGTTCCTTGAGGTGTTCTCGCTGCTGGACAAATCCATTATGTTTCGCAGTTTGTGCTCGGCGATGTTGCCGAAGGGTATGGGTATACTTCCTCTGTATCATAAGTCTGTGCCGTTTTGGGCGCTCAGTCGTTGGGGTACTTAAACGTTGACGTTTAGCCTTTGACCGGGTGCGTTGAAAGGCAAAGAGCATACGAAGATGACAAGAAAAAAAAAATCGAACACCGTGATACACACTAAAATATGGTCAACATATGCCCATTTTGGCCGTATTTCGGTATAATTTATTGAGAACTCTTTTGAGAATTTTACGACTTCGCAGTAGAACACACCGGGGTCAGAAAGCGACAGAGGGAAGAGACGTTAGAGAGGGTGGTAAAATACGATAAGGAGGCTTTTGAGAAGGCTCACGCCTGGATGGCATCGAGTCCCAGCGACAGCGAGGACGACTAATCGAGTTTTTCCCTTTGTTTTCCCCCGACAGCAACAGACATTTTTTTTACCCGCAAGTGTCTTGGTTTTAGTGTGGGAACCCCAAGTGTCTTGGTTTTAAGGTGAAACCCAAATTGTCTTGGTTTTTGTGTGGGGTCACGATTATACTGGTTTGAGTATTGGCGGACGCGGCACGTATCGTTGAGTAGGAGGGGGGGGTTGGGTTCGGGCACTACTATTGTTTGTTGCCCTGCAAGTGTCTTGTTTCTTGTGTGCGGCCCCCAAGTGTCTTGGTTTTAGTGTGTAAATCCCAAATATCTTGATTTGAGTGTTGGGGGTCACTAGTATATATGGGGGGCGCGTTTGGCTGATGGAGTATAGGAGGGGGGTTATCTTTGGGGTGGGGATAATGCTTGAGTTTTTGGGGGCGGGACAGGCGTTTAGCCCCACACACCCCCTACGTGGAAAAGGGCAAAATATGGCCGTTTTTAGGCCAACTCAATGTTCTCCGGCCGTTCAGCCGCATGGTTCAAGCACCAACTAAAGTAAGCAAAAGTTTTTCTTGCTAAAAAAACGCCGGAGAATTCAACGAAAAATCGGAAAACCGATCGGACACCGTTAAGGGGGCGCAAAAACATAACGGCACAGACTTATGATACAGAGGAAGTATGAGGGTAACATTCTGTCGAGAAACTCGGCACCACGTGTTTAAGAAATCGAAGCGCTTTCGGTGCAGCTATGTTTGTGGATGACATTTACCTTGCGGGAAATTTATTAAGTGCGGTTGCGAGAACGTGCCAGCAGTCGATGGATTAGAGAACCCTTGTACGGGGATGCATCGATCTCGCCCCCGAAACTAAGGAAATGGGAAACCCCGAGAGGTTTCAGACAACAAGGCGATATCTTGCAGCAACCACCGCACCGCAATGTGTAGTTGCCTGTTAGCCATTTTGGTTTCGTAAAGTTCTTCATCCTCCTCCACATTTACCAATAGTCGTGCATTATCATGGCGTCTTTCAATTTCAATCTTGGTGAGCGGTTGCCATTTTTGAGTGACCCATACATTTTGCATAAAACAATGTTGACCAGGTCTCTGGAATAGGCATGACAGGTGTGTGACTGTCCTTCTCACACCCGAAATACCCAGAGAGTTATCTTGGTTGTTGACTCAGGTTCCAAATCCGGGCTACGGGATGTACATTTGCCAGGCTACCCAACCCCAACATCAATGATTGGATATTGTGGCCTGAGTAGTTCAAAGGTGATGAGTTGACTGGGGTGCCTTCACCTCTTTCTGGGCCTTTCTGGCTGATGTGATTCATTCCGCCCTGGGGGTGTACTGACCAGAGGCCACGAGTGTCTTCTACAACGTTTTACTATGGAAGCGTGACAAGAACGTCAACAGCAACAGCGTTTAGGGCATCGACCGCACCTTCCAATTCGCAGCTGCGGACTCGGGATTCGTCTGTGAAACGATTTGGTTTGCTGCTCGAAATGGATTCTGCTCTTCCCTCCAGCTCCATGTTTCCCGAACGTGACGTTGTATGTCCTTGTAGCACTCGGCCTCGAGATGAGGTTGGTTCTCGTTTGTCTTACGGCGGTCGATAATACGATTTTCGGAATTCACAATCGCTTTCCCTTGTATCCTTGGGTACAGACATGACACCACGAATATGCGTTGATTCTCGCCCACTGCCCTGCCCCACCTGTGATGTGTACGATTAATCTCTTGAACATTGTTTAAACACTAGCACCTTCTCAGCTGGTGAGACCGCAGTTGACATGCCTAGCAAACGTTCGAGGTTATACACGAAATGAAGAGCAGACTGCTCATTCTTGGCTTGTTATGCAGCGGGAATATGGTTGCAATGGTGCTCCCGAGTGGCAGACAGACGTGGTACGTGAAACTATTTTCGTTCCGGTCCGTGCTACCACCAAATCCCTCAGGCACGATTCCGCCCGAGCTGGGCGGGCTGACAGCGCTAACGTGGCTAAGTCTCAGCGACAACAATCTTTCCGGTGAGGCCTTCCTGTTGGCTGTCTTGAATGTAGTGAGTCTGGTTGTCTGTGGTTGATATTTCGGCGTGTTCTGTGCTCGCCTATTCTCGTCTTTCTTGGCGTCTCTGCCTTGGGAGTGACCAGTGGCTATATCTTGTACCTGGTGCGATTGCGATTCGCTTCGTGTGTCAGCCGCTGGTCATTGCTGTTGTACTGTCCCGCCCAAGTCCAGCAGGTACAGCAGGTACTTCAACAGCTATCGCCCATGAAATATCCGAATGAGTTGGAAACCAACCCACCTCCACGCTTTAGGGACCTTCCACTTTAATCGCTCAGTGCGGTAAATCATTGCATTTCAGACGCTTGGTGTTCTTGAATTGATACATGTGGTGTATGGGTTGGTTGGCAATGTTGACAACTTCATCAGTCGTGGCAACGGCTAGGCACGGGTTTGTACCCGGTCAACACCTCCTGAAACATCAAGCTCACTACCTCAAAGGCATGCACATCTAGCCGTCTCCGTTCTCTAGTGACCGAGGACCCATTCCAGTATCCGTCAACCAGCAAAGGTCTCTCAAGAGTCTCTAGAATTCTACTATTTGGGCGGTTTGGATTCGACGTGACCAAAAATGGAAAAATACCAACCGTTGGATTACTCAAGTCTATATGTTCCTTTGGCGCAACCCCCCCCGAACAACATCCCTTCTGGCGTTCTTCGTTCACTACAAGAGGCGGTTGCATGGCTTACGTCTGATTCGCGATCATGCTCTGGGGACGATTACACAATTTGGAAAATCATAATTTGAACAGGAAACAGTTCCTGGTGATCCCTTGCTCACTGCAATAGGACCATTGCCCAAGTCCGCGTGTCGATGAAGGACGTGGTAGCAAGGCCTCAAATTTCCACAATTGTCCACTCGGATACATGTATTCACCCTTCTAGAGGTAGCCTACCGTATGTAACTCCATCCTTCGCCACGGTTACTACAATATTGATTTTTGAGCAGAGATTTGGTCGCCGCACCGAACAATTACTTATTCGCCTCCTTTCTCAAAGCTCATTTCATTCCATGTTCAGAACGAGAGTAAGAATCCTACCTGCGTTGGTTTTCATTATCGATAATTCCTTGAACAACCTGCGTACTTTGCTACATCGCACTTTATTTGTTCCGAGGCATTACATTTCTGACATGGCCCGTCGTCGATGTTCCTGTGATGCAGGCCTTCATAGTGTTCGGATGGCAGTACATTTTTCTAGTGTTGTGTTCAGTTCCAGTACCACCAAATATTGCCCTCACCATTTACGTCTTTCAGAAAGTATTGCCCACACAATATATGATGTAAATGAGCGGTTTCATCGAATTTGCAGGATGTTCTGCTCTATCTACCAAACCTGGACACGATTGCGCTTTGTGCACAGTTTTGTCTTCTTTTGCTTCACGTGATGTCTGCAAACGTCAGAACAGTCGAAACTGTACGACGGTTTTGTTCCGCTCCCCATTCCGCAAGCCTGCATCTTGGAGCGAACAATTGGAAGTTGATGATGTGCAGGTAGTGTTGCACTGCTATTTTCCAACGCATTATGCTGAACCTAACAGTCGCCCCCGCTTTGAAGACACACATCGTTTTTTTTATTGACTTTCTTTTTCGCGGGGAGTGTGTCCTTAAGATTCCGAGGATGACAACTCACCATCCCCAGGGTCAACGGAGGCGTACCATACGTCAAAAGGCGCGCAATTGCAGCAGGGATACTACACCACAAAACCTGGCGATCACAACGTGTTGTTGGTTGAACGTCGCACGTGCTTACATACCGTCGTTCGCCTTTGAACCTTCACATCGTACCACTCCACCCCCCACATTATTCTTCGAAGAGTGGGTATAGTGCTGCAGGACGAGGCACACATTTGCAGCTGGTGTTGTCATTGTTATGTTGCTATTTCTGTTGGCTTTGGACTGTTTCTCTATCGTTTTGGCGTCGTTCCCGCGTTCAACATCTTGCCGAGATGCACATAACTACGCCCCCCCCAAAATAAAAGAAAGACAGCCAACCGTCATTGGAACAATCTCTGATACGATACATACTGTACACCTTGTGCGCCACACAGGCTATACCTGCTAAACAGGGAAGGAGCAAAACTATACCTGAAACGAAACTAGAAGTGTCGGAGAACCCACAACGCCAGACAAACATACAACGGACAAACGAAGTGGAGCGTCGGTCCTGCCCAGAGGTTAATATCAGATGGTACAAAAACAAATTTACCAATATAAGCATAATTTTACCACACAGTGGACCAAAGACGAACACACAAACAACAATTGCACTTCTAGCTACGTCCTCCGAATGTATCCATACCCACACGCAGTGGTGGCAGCAGCAGCAGATCGCTCGCCTCGTCTATTGTGCCGTGTAGTTCGGTAGGTGTCCTTCAGCATCATCCTGGGGGTCCCGAATGCTGGACACAGTGACCCCCCCCCCTGTTTTGGATATCTGCGGGGCACCCTGCTTCTGAGATTTTTTTTGTGTCTTTCAAGCGGGGACCTGACTTAAGATGTACGCCTTTGAAGCGGGGACGTACACTATCCACCGGAAGGATGGTAAAAGTGCGCTGTGCCCTCCTTCTTCCCGTACAATCCAAGAACGTTTGTCTCTTATGTATGTACGTGTTGAGACGGTGTCCTGGTGCATGCAACCACAGATGAAACGAACACACCCAATACCAAAAACATTCAAACACATTTCGAAGGCAAACCTGTTGGAGAGTTTGACGAATTCTAGAACGACAATCGGAACGCCTGCTTATGTTGGGAAATGTTGTAGTTTTTCGGCTTGGAAATCGACGCCACGAGCAGGGGTCCCAGTGGTTCCGTGGCGCTCTGTTTTCAGCGACGTCCCGAGGCGGTTGCTTCATCGTGTGTCATTGGTGATTGTGGTCTCGGAGCGTTTACCGTGCGAGACGCTTACTCCGTACCGTAGGGTAGCCGTGGCTACCATGGCACCCTATCAGCTGAACCCGATAGTGGGTCGAAGCTGTCAGGCGTTGTTCGAGCCACCTGGATTGTCATATCCCGGGCCAGGTAGATGACCATCTTTGGGGGCGATTTATGGGTTCTGTTTCACATGTTCTGCCTCTGCAGTTATTTTTCCCTTGTGCCACCCCATGGAAAACTACTGGGAAACAACGCAGGGCTTGCGCGAGTAATATTCAAAAGGTTCGACCGTCCGCCCTTGCCCGAAGACTCTGACTGTCGAAGAAAGATTGAGAGAACTAAAAAAAACATGTTCTCCGGTCTCGCGTTGGATGTTTAGCTCGGACACGCAGGAAGCTCACGAGACTACGTACGCCGAAATGCATAAACAACCGCTACTGTACCTCTCTGGTCGCTTCGCGATTGTTGAAGTCTCGAGAGGTCAGCAAACGTCAGCGGCTCTCCTTGTGAATGCCCTTCTGCTACCACATGATTGACACCATGCGGGGAGGCGGAAGATGAACAGGCTTTTGTTTCACAAACCGTGCAGCTCTTTGAAAAAGTCACCGGGTTTTTTGTTCACACCGGGACGTTGAGGTGGCGCCCGGGGCATTGAAAATCAAACTACACTAGGAATTCTGGTTTAATTACGTTTTTCATGCCCGGTTCTATTTCTGCACGGTTCTTTGCAAGTTACCACATAAAGCATTCAAAGAACGGTGCCATGGGGCTGAGCGCAACTCAGAAGGCACCACGTCGAGAGAATAAGAATACAGAAGTTCACTTGTGCCCACCCTACCTTCGGGCACGTTGTACTTCCTCCGGGCAGCACGATAATAGCGCCGACAAATAGTGGAAAGAGAGAGAGGGGTCCAGAATTCGGCACAACGAAAGATAGTATATATAGCGAGTACAGTGATTACTGCAGGCAACGTTTCCGGCCGGCATCGACGCCCGTTGCCGTCGTCCTCGACAAACTCGTAAAATTGCAATCAAGCTTGCATTAACACCTCGCTGGTAACACTCGCAGACCGCTGCAGACCCCGCAGAACATTACAGCCCCAAGCTGGCACACTTCAGAGCTCCTTTACCCTCAGCTCGGTCTCTTCCCCAGTACTGCAGCTTTTTCAAACGCCCTCTTGATGTTTGTTTGCTACCGCGCGTTGCTTCTTGAGTTCGTACGGGTGATGCGCCGAAACATGAGCAAGGAATGTGCTTGCTTCTTCCACATCTGGGACGTAAGTCCGCGCACCAGAACGTTGGACATTTTCAACGGGGTTGTGCAATATAATCAAGAGGAAATGATTTCGAAACCGCTCGCACCCCCGCGGCGCTTACTCAAGGCCCTTTGCTGAACTTCCTATTTTTCGGAACTTTTCGGCGACATGCCTGCATCTCTGGCTTGGGAGTCGATGCTTATGCACCTCGTTCCAGCGACACGCCGGGCTCTGACCGTCCCTGGAATGTGCAATCTCTAACATTCAACCATCCAGGCATTCTGTTATACCTTACATGAACCATGACTAACGCGCCCTCAGGCCTGAATTTTCTCAAACACACCGATCTCGAAAATGTGGGAACTACAAGCACTGCGTATTGCACTATCCGAACTTCTTCACAGCAACGATTTGCATCACGTTCTTTGACACGGAAACACAATGTGTGAAACAACTGGTACGCCGGTGAAGACTTATTTCATCTGCGATTGACTATACTTTGCTACTTGAACAGGTTTGAGCTGGACAACGGAAGTCCGTCCGTGTATTAGTTCGGGAAAGTGCAGTCGAATCGCGAAATTTTGCCAAGTAGTTTCCACAATGAGCAGGGAAATGTATACATAACTCTACCTTGTTGTATGAGTTGAGAACTTGTGCTATACAGTGGGATGAAAGTTATACCCCGAAACGTGGCTACACGGAACACAGACGGTGGCTTCGTCAAATACCAGTGAAACCCTTCCGCAAAACAGATTTGGGCACAAACGACCAAGCAAGCCTTTCGACGGACTACCACTCTCGATACTATAATATGGTGGATCAATTGCCGCAGGTTGGACCTTTCTTGACATGGAATGTGGCCCCGGTTTGACGTGTGTAAGCAGTGAACTACAGTCGCCATTTCGTGGTCGCTGGCCTCATCGCTCAAGTATGAAAGCTTCACCTACCGAAACCGGGCAGGTTTATGCCGGCAGTCGTATCACCTCATTGTGATTCCGTATCTACCGTTGGGCAAGCGCAAGAGGCCGGTCCCCCCGCTTGGCTTGGAATGGTTGTCGCATTGGTGGGGCTGGAAGGTGACACGCGTCCGGTGTCCTGCCGTATCCACGGCAGCTTGATGGTCCGATGACACATTCGTGTTCAGGCCCTCACTAACTTGGATTCGTGGCTTTGCTTTGGAACTTATCGGCACATGTACTGCCTGCGTGGTTTGGATACCCCAAGCCTTTTGATGTCCACGCTCATTCCGTGGGTGGTATTGTCAAGCGGGCATTAGGTCAGAACAAACGTCGATTCATCGCACACTCTTGCTCGTGCATCAGC